TTATTTATATATAACGATATTTCATAACCTTTTTGAATAACATTAGGACTAACATAATATTTAATTATAACATCTTTTATATTGTTATTTCTAACAAACTTATTGAAATATTCTTTAAGTTTATTGATTCTTGATTCAAATTTAATATAATCACATTCTAAGTTAGCTACTACTTTATTATCTTCTTCATTATAATAAACATAATCATTTATATCTTCTTCACTTGATTCATCATTAGATTCACTAATATTTTCACATAAATTTTCATCTTCATGTTCACTTTCAAGTTCACTAATATTTTCAGAATAATCTATAAATTCATCAACGTCTTCATTCAACACTATATTATATAATAATCATAAATGACAAAGTTCAATATATTTTTTAATATATATATATTTAAATAGATAGTTATTTATTTTTTGGAATAGTAATATCTGAATTATAAAATTATTATAAAAATATAGTTTATCTGAATAATGTAGAGTTGGTGGAAAAAAGTCCGGCTCGATAAATAAGTTTGGCTCGTTTGCAAATTATAATATTTGTTGCTATAATATTGAAAACATTTTGTATAATTTCAAAAACATTAATAAAAACTTTCAAAAAACAAAAAACAAAAAAAATAAAAAATAAAAAATAAAAAATAAAAAATAAAAAATAAAAAATAAAAATATTTACAAAACCAAACAATAGAAATTAAAACAACACTTTTGATAGAAAATTTTTTATTCGGGTCAAAAAATAGGCACTTCGAAGAAAAATAAGATTTTATTCTCATGTATATGTCAGTACAATACAAAGTCAATAGCAACTACTCAATGTTTGTTTTTGGAATTAAAAATAAAGGTTGTGCAAACATATAAAACGCAACATTAAAAGTATAAAACAAATCATTCGGTTGTTTATATAAACAATGCAAAACAATTTAACAATAAAAACTAAAACTCAGCATTTTGAAACAATGGATTGATTGCAACTAATTTGAACTTTCTTACATAATCGAGTTGTTAAACAAAACACAGCTATTATTTAAGATGCTTGCCAATAATTCAATCTATGCGTGAATTGAGTCAATCTCAATGTGAAGTCAACATGTCTGACCAAATGAAAATAATTATGGTTGTAACTTACATTAGTATAATGTACAAATTCAGGATTCGTTCCCAAATAGAGGCGTCTCGATATTTAAAATGAATTCTTTGTTTGGCTCGATAGCTATATGAAATTAAATAGTAATAAAAATAGAAACTAATAATAAATGGTTGTTTATAATAAAATATAGTTATTCTTATCGAGCCGGACTTTTTCCCACCAACTCTATTTGTATTGTTTTTATGTAAAAACTTGGTTCAAAACTGTTTTGAATTATGAATTGTTTCAAAATAAGTAACATAAATGTATTATAAACATGTTATTTATTATGCAATCTTTGTATTTTGTACTTTTTGAAATATGATTATCCTTCGGATATGTAATATATTTTTTTCTGTCTTAACATCAATTTATCACTAAATTAATTAAAATTAAAACAGTTTTGGGTTTTGGGTTTATTATTGAAACCATTTGTTAATCCGAAGATGTTCACTATTAATTGTTTATCATAATTTAAAACAAAGAATTTTCTTGGTGAAATAAAAGATGATTTGAATTTATAAAAATATCAATAGTATTTTTAAACTTAAATATTTATTACAACAATATAAAAAACTGTTTAAATAACTATTATAATTTTTAAAATTATATTAATTATTGCTTCTATTTAATTAGTTATAAATAATAATCTTGAAGTCGACCAGAAAATTGTCGTACACTTCCTAAAATAGATTTGTGTACATAAATTACATTTTTATAGAAAAGTTGATTAAAAATTCTTTGAACTTTTCTCGATATAAGAAACAATTCGAAGCTGTTTTCAAATCAAAAAC